TCTTTGGACCCTCCTCGCAGCGTGCACACTGCGACGGAATATCATATCCTGCATCGGCCTTGCGAGACGCCGTCCATGCCCCGCCGACCGTGATCGTAAGTAAAAGATGTGCCAGCCTGCGCCCGATCTTGGGGATCTGCTCAAGCTGGAGCAACTGCTTCCTGAGGCTGAAGTTGTCGACTCCTGCCTCCATGCCGCCTCCACAAAATGTTGAAACTGCTGCCTGCTGCCACTGCTTCCGTTGAATTGACCTGGTGAATGCATCGAGGAGTTCGACGGCCTGATCGTGAGCTTGGAAGTCGGAGCCTGCGAAGTTCCACCCGTCCTGGTGGCCCTCTGCATCAGCGGCCTGGTACCACAGCGACGGCTCTGGGATGTCCCAGCCTGCGTCGAGGAGGTAGTGAATCACCGCCGTGAGGGGACCACGAATGTGCCTCGCGCGATGGCGAGGTTCACACTGCTGGAAGAAAGAGACTGTGGCACCCCAGACCTTCGAGATCGGAGACCGAACCCGCGGGACGTCCAACCATACTCGTAGCCATTCGGCCAAGCATTGTCGAGGCAAGGCATACCCAGGATCGGCTCCTGGGGCTCGAATGTCTAGCAAGGTGGTAAGGCACCGACCTCGCCTAGGAGGAGGGGGGGAGGAGAAGCGGATGCGCAGGAGCTTCTAGCTGGCCTGGCGCAGCCTCTGAGTATCGCCGAGCGCGTTCCGCTACTCGCAGCGTGCCTACTCGCAGGCGTTCGAAATACACACGTCTTCCTCGTCTGCAGTATATTGTGGATCCCCCGTGGCGGATCCACGCAATTTGCGAGTAATTGATTTGCGAGTAGTGGAACGCGCCGGATCCGGGCCAAGTGGGTTCCGCCGACGTGACGGGGTCAGCGGACCCACCCAAGCCACGTCAGGCACCTCTGACACACTTGTGTCGGGGGCGGACAGAACCCCCACCTTGACACGTCGATTAGCGAATTGTCTGTTTTCGATTCTCGAGAGGGCGCCGCGGCCATCATTTTCCAGGCTTGCGCCCGTCAGGTTTGGGCCCGAGGTCGTTTTCACTAAACCACGTTTTACTAGGGGGGGTCCTGTCCATCCCTGATTGTGAGCTAGGTCTGGCACTCCATAAGCCACCTTAGCATCCACTTATACCCCCCTTTTCCATTTAGCACCCCCGCGGTGATCCCAAGTATAGTCTCATGTATGACTTCCCGCATGTACGCTACATAGTACGATGTCCTCTCTACGAAATTGTTATGTTGGATTGATTAGGGCATTCTGCCGCCAGGGCGTCGTGCCATTTTTGTCCAGCGACCGGGCAGGAGTTCTCACGGAAGCCGCCGAGGCTCGTCGAAATTTGCCGCTGCAAGGCCAATTCCAATGCGACCCACCCGATTCGATATCGATTTTGGCCCGCTCGATCTGATTCGATTCCAGAGCCACGGCGATGCGATACGGCCCGATGCTTGCATGGCCGTCGCTGTGCATCTTGGCGCGGCAGGTCCGATCCGGCTTCGGTGACGACGTGGGCCGATCCGCCGCACGCTCCGACCCGATGCGGCTTATCGATTTGGCACCTCCCGCTCCTGCGGCTGTTGGAGGCCGCATCATGGGGGAGGGGATACATGGTTGGCTTGGTATCGCTCGGACGTGTACACTTTTTCTCGGCGGGGATTATGAAGGAGCATCCTGGATCATGATGCGTAAAAGCCACGCACGAAACCGAACAAAACGCACAGGGACCGAGCGATGGCGAGTTTGGGGGCAGCGAGGGCAGCGAGAACAAGGGCCCCCCTTCAGGGCCCCAAAGTGGGCCTGCAGGGCCCGAGAATGGCACCTTTCTTTCAGTCGGGCCTGTCCCTTTTGGTATTTCGGGGCATGTTTGGAGCATGCTTTGACAATGTTTTGCATTTTTCGTCCAAAATCCCCCTGTCGGGGGAACCGCCCGACTTAAACCGTTCTTCCCGCTCCCCCCCCTCCCATCTTCCCGCTCCCCCCCCCCCGCAGTATCGCCCCCCCATGAAGTCGCGCCCAAGGCTGCACTCACCCGGTGCACAGTCCGCCCGCACAGGAAGGATGGGCAACCTTCCCGAGAGTGCCTTTGCATCCCTGCCGACCTTGGCGACTCGCGCTTGCCGCGCCCCGCTCGAAAAATGCTCACATGTCCTTCCAAGGCCCGTGCATCCTCAGCGCGCATCCTCATGATACCGTTGAGTCGGGCATGTCCCTCTACAGGAGGAGTATCCAAAATTAGCCTGGCGAAGGACCCAACCATTTGCAGTTGTGAACACCGTCGTCGTATGCACCGCATTAGGAGGAGCTCCCTGTGGGGCTACCAAACGTGAGAGGGGTGTGTCCAAATGGATGCGGTGGGCGCATGCGAACGCTGGCATTTGGGCCTTCGGTGGGGCTCCCCGAGGGGCCACGAAATGTCTGAGGAGTGTGTCAAAATGGGTGCGGTGGCCGCAAGCGAACGCTAGCATTTGGGCCTTCGGTGGGGCTCCCTGAGGGGCCGCGAGACGTCTGAGAGGTGTGCCAAAATGGGTGCGGTGGCCGCATGCGAACGCTGGCATGTGGGCCTTCGGTGGGGCTCCCTATGGTGCCGCGAAACATGTGAGGGGTGTGCCAAAATGGGTGCGGTGGCCGCATGCGAACGCTGGCATTTGGGCCTTCGGTGGGGCTCCCGATGGAGCCGCGAAGCGTCTGAGGGGTGTGCCAAACTGGGTGCGGTGGCCGCATGCGAACGCAGGCATGTGGGCCTTCGTTTGGGGTGTGCCAAAGTGTGAGGGGTGTGCCAAAGTGGGCGCGGTGGCCGCATGCGAACGCTGGCACGTGGGCTTTCGGTGGAGCTCCCTATGGAGCCACGAAACGTGTGAGGGGTGTGCCAAAATGGGTGCGGTGGCCGCATGCGAACGCTGGCATTTGGGCCTTCGATGGGGCTCCCTGAGGGGCCACGAAACGTCTGAGGGGTGTGCCGAAATGGGTGCGGTGGCCGCATGCGAACGCTGGCATGTGGGCCTTCGGTGGGGCTCCCTACGGAGTTTCGAAGCGTGTGAGGGGTGTGACAAAATGGGTGCGGTGGCCGCGTGCAGCCGCTGGCATTTGGGCCTTCGGTGGGGCTCCCTGTGGGGCCACGAAACGTGTGAGGGGTGTGCCAACATAAGCCTCAGACCTCCCCCCCAAGAAACCACCGAGAGTCTTCCGAATGGCCTCAAGAAGCATCCACTGGGGCTTTCGGTGGAGCTCCCTATGTGGCCACAAACCGTGCGGGGGGTGGGCCGCAGTTGGTGCAGCGGGCGCATGCGAACGCAGCCACTAAGGCCTTCGGTGGAGCTCCCCACGAGACTACGAACCGCGTGACGGGTGTGTCGAAATGGGTGCGGCGGGCGCATGCGAAGGACCCACCCATATGCAGTTGCGAGTACCACAAGTCAGATTGGACGAACGAGAAGGAACTCTCCATGGGGCCGCGAAAAGTGTGAGGGGTGTGCCGACCTGTGTGCGGCGGGCGCATGCGAACGCAGCCACGGGGGCCTTCGGTGCTCCTTATGGAGCCACGAAACGTGTGAGGGGTGTGCCGACATGTGTGCGGCGGGCGCATGCGAACGCAGCCACGGGGGCCTTCGGTGGAGCTCCCTGTGGGGCCACGAAACGTGGGAGGGGTGTGCCGACATGGGTGCGGAGGACGCGTGCGAACGCAGCCATTGGGACCTTCGGTGGAGCTCCTTATGGCGCCACGAAACGTGTGAAGGTGTGCCGAAATGGGTGCGGTGGGCGCGTGCGAGCGCAGCCACTGGGGCCTTCGGTGGAGCTCCTTATGGGGCCACGAAGCGTGTGACGGGTGTGCCGAAATGGGTGCGGTGGGCGCATGCGAACGCAACTATTGTGGCTTTTGGTGTAGTTCCCTAAGGGGCCACTAAACATGTGAGGGGTGTGCCGACATGGGTGCGGTGGGCGCATGCGAACGAAGCCACTGTGGGCTTCGGTGGAGTTCCTTATGGGGCCACGAGACGTGTGAGGGGTGTGCCGAACTCGGTGCGGTGGGCGCATGCGAACGCAGCCACGGGGGCCTTCGGTGGGGCCCCCTTATGGGGCCACGAAACGTGCGAGTGGTGTGCCGAAATGGATGCGTTGAGCGCATGTGACCGCAGCCACCGGGGCCTTCGGTGGAGCTCCCTGTGGGGCCACGAAACGTGTGAGGGGTATGCCGACATGAGTGCGGTGGGCGCGTGCGACCGCAGCAATTGGGGCTTTCGGTGGAGCTCCTTGTGGGGCCACTAAACGTGCAAGGGGTGTGCCGACATGTGTGCGGCCAGCGCATGCGAACGCAGCCACTGGGGCCTTCGGTGGAGCTCCCTGTGGGGCCACGAAACGTGTGAGGGGTGTGCCGAAATGGGTGCGGTGGGCGCATGCGAACGCAGCCACTGGGGCCTTCGGTTGAGCTCCCTATGGGGCCACTTACGTGTGAGGGGTGTGCCGAATTGTGTGTGTGTGTGTGCGTGTGTGCGTGTGACGCATGCGGGCGGTGGCACTGGGGCCTTCGGTGGAGCTCCTTATGGGGCCGCGAAACGTGTGAGGGGTGTTCGTATTGGGTGTGCGTGACGCATGAGGATGATGACGATGGGAGGAGGGAGAAGGGGGAGGAGGAGGAGGAGGAGGAGGAGGAGGAGGAGGAGGAGGAGGAGGAGGAGGAGGAGGAAGAGAGGAGAGCAGGAGTGACGCGGGGCGCAGTCTCTTCAAAACGAGGACCCAACACCGCAGGACGGTTGGGAATTAGTCCAAAAAATAATATGGGGGACGATTGTTTGGGGTATGTTTTGACTATGTATGAATATGCTTTGAAGTATTGTGAAATATTCGTCCAAAATCCGTCTGTAGGGGCACATGCCCCGACCGAATGATACGGGTTGCCTGTAGCCAGCTATGTCAGCCCTGCACCACCACCCGCTGCGCCGCCGCCGGGCCTCCTCCGCGCCCCCCCCCCCCGGGCGCGTCCTCGCAGGTGCCGCCCGTGGCCGACGCCCCGGCCGTGCCCTTCGTGCCCAGCGGCGCGTTCGACGTGGCCGCCGGCGCGTTCCAGATGCCGTTCATGCCAGCTCAGGAGGGGCGGGGCTCATCTCGGCCCCTCCGATTCCATTGGATTCCATGTCGGCGATTCGATGCAACTCGGGGTTCGATGTGGGTTCCGATTTCAGGCCAGCCTGCCGATTTGCGCCGATTCGACGGTTCCCAACTCGGCTGCCGATGTCCGTCGATCCGATTCACGTCGATCGCCGATCCGACTTGTCGATCGGTTCGATTCTGGGCTCTCCTGGGAGGGGCGGGAGGCCGAGCTGATGTCATCTGCAGTCGAGCATCTGATCAGGGAGCCTCCTCCCGAAAGAGTTGGGCCAGCGTGTTTCTGCACGAACTTGCCGGGAAGCGGGCCCAGTTCCTGGGGCACGTCCGCCCCTTCAGCGTGAGCAGCAGAAATGGGACGACGTTTCACTTAAGACACTTCCAGGAAGCTGGCCCAGATTTCTGAGCTGATGATTTTCAGAATCGTAATTTCGGCTGTGGGCCTCCCAGATGGGGTCGGAGTAGATGGGGTCGGAGGAGCGAGCCGCATCGCCGATGCGTCGGCGGTGCGGCGCCTGCGTCTCCTTGGAGTTCCGTCTTTGGGGTGCACCGGCGTGCGCCAGCGTCCGGTGATCGATGAGGGCGCCGACTTCGCGTCGATCCAGTGCCGATCAGCGCCGAGTGGCGTCGATTCGAGTCGGTCGGCGTCGATGCGCAAGAGTCGGCAAGATGGCACGGGAGGTCCCGTGAGTTGCCCTCGTCGAGGGCGTTCCTGAAGCGGGCCGAGCCACGGCCCGAAGGCCAGACGACCCGGCTGGGAGGTAATGGGCATAACGGCCTCAGGGGGGAGGAGGGGGAGGAGGGGGAGGAGGAGGAGGAGTAGGAGGAGGAGGAGAGGAGGAGGAGGAGGAGGAGGAGGAGGAGGAGGAGGAGGAGGAGGAGGAGGAGGAGGAGGAGGAGGAGGAGGGGGGGAGGAGGACGACGGGCCTGGGGGGACCTGGCGAGAGCCCATCCGCGCACCCGTCCGCGCAGATGGAATCCATCATAT